AGGGAGGCCCCTCTTCTGCATCCTGCTCCCTGATCCTGGTTAAAATCTCATGGCTTCCTGGCTGGCAGGCTGCACGGCCAGGGCCAAAGACGCTTTTGCTAACCCGACTGCTTTTTCTGCCCTTGCTCCTACTGGTGACTAAGTTTCTGAGGAAGAAATGAGTCCCTTGGAGAGATGGGCAGGACCCACTGGGGCCAGGCCATGCGAGGGGCCACCCTCAGGTCAGCTGTGGCTGCAGTTTGGTCAGTAGGATGAGGACTGGTCAACCCCTCTGGGGCAGGCATCCTGGGGCCGCGGGGTGGTCCTGTCAGCTCCAAGGCGTGGGGAGGGCAGGGAGGCAGGGCAAAGAGACAGTGCAGACACGTTTTCCCTTGTCTGGGAGAGGAGGTGACAAGTAGACATTCAAAGGAGGGAGTATTTTTGATGGGAGGGACTCCATGTCTACATACCGTGTGGGAGCTCTCTCCCTGGTAGTCTGATGGCTAAGGTCCAGGCACAGGTGATAATGGGTAGCATGGAGCGGGAGCAGGAGGGGGCCCTCCCAGGCTCCATTGTTGGGGGGTGAGGCAGAGGCTTGAGGAGAGAAGAGGGATCTTGGAGTAGCTCTGCAGAGCCAGGGAGACCCCTCCCCGCCCAGGGTCCACGGACGTTGAAGAGAAGATTCTACATCTAATAGCAGGTTGGGCCTTTGATCTCCTTTCCAACGCCGGGATTCTGGGGGTCTAAGTGGCTGAGATTCTATTATACAAGGTCTGACTTCTTGGCTTCCCAGATTTTGAGTATTCAAGATTCCAATAAACTATCATTGGAAGGTTCTAGAACTCTGGAATGCTCCGATTCTGGGACTGATGTCTACATTCACCAAAATTTGTACTTTGCTTATAGGTTGACCTTATTCAAAAGCATCAGCCAGACAAAGGTGACAGAGATTAACGATGTTCATTGACTTGTCATTATCCTTTCCAGGGCTTTTGCAATTTATCAGGGACTGTGATTAAAAGGAAAAAAAAAAGGAAAAGAGATGCCAGCGGTGTGACTTCAGGCCCGTGCTGTTTGGGCCCACTATTCACAGGTCTTTGAATGATGATAACATGTTTTCCTGCCATCCTCTCAGCCCCAGAGCTGAATCTGGTATCTGGGAGAGGGGCTGGGAGGGACAGAGAAGGGCCCTGGGTCTGAGGCTCCTGCACGTACCCCCTAGCCCCACCCACACCCCACAGCTAGTCCCACAGCCAAGAGCCAGGCCCTGGCACCAGGTGCTCAGCTGCAACAAGCTTGGTGCCCAACACAGGCGTTCGGTTTATTGGCCCAACGGCCTGCGACATCCACAATATCATCGTTCCACTTCCGAGAGGAGGGACTCAAGGCTCAGTGGGGTTAGGTGGTGCCCGATGGGTCCGCAGTCAAGGTCTCTCCCATGCCGGCCACCACGAACAGCAGACGCATGACAGCCACACCATGCTTCCCACCCTCCCTCCCCAGTGCAGCCAGGAGGGGTCGGACCTGGGTGCTGGGGACTTCATGGACTACTCTTGTATTTTAAATGTGGACCATGGATGGAGACAGTCTTAATCAAAAGGAATGATGCCATGATGGTGGAATCTCAGACACTGTGACAGGTTCTAACAGGATTGGGTGGGGGCCCCCTCTCTCAGTGTCTCAAAGCACCATTGAGCTATAGAAAGTGTGAGCTGGACTGGCCCTCGAGCCCAACCCTCACCTGTAGTACAGCTGGGGAAACTGAGGCCTAGAGAAGACTAAGGACTTGGCCTTTTGTCCTTGTCATTTTACCTTGAAGTGGCGCGGGGAGGAATTTCAGGGTGCGGCCAGGTGGTAGATAGGGTGGGGAGGGTGAGGCCTGACAGGGGCCTGGTGCCCCTACCCCTCTCCCCTCTCTTCCCACACGGCCCCCCACCTCGTGAAGCCTTGCTCAGGGGAGTCTGGCCACCTGCTTTCTGTATGTAACTCTGGGGACACCCCGGGTCTTCCTCATCTGTGAAACAAGGAGGTTAGGCCAGCCCAGGGCCCCAACTTTTTACTACTTACCCTTCAGATAAATGTCACCCAATATGTTGTGTTTATTATCTCCTAGTGAAATGTCATTGTAGAAAGAGCTTAGGTGTGGAAACCAGACGGAACAGGCCTCAAATCCCGGCTCCTCTCCTTGCCACTCGGTAAGGACTCACCTCTCCCAGCCTCAGGTAACTCACCTGGAAAATGGGCATGAAACAGACCCCGCCCAGGGAAGACTCCATGAGGTAGTGGATGGCTGACACTGGCTTCTGCAGGGCTGGGAAAAGTGCAGCTCCAGAAGGCACCAACAAGGAATGAATAACTGGCCCTCGACTGTCCCAGGCAGGCACCAAGCTAAGGGATCTACGATGCCGTTTCCTTTATCCCCAACAAGCTGGTGAGGAAGCAGTCTCCCGTGCTGCCTTCACGGACCCCGGAGGAACCTGAGACACAAAGAGGCAGAGGCATTTGCCTAAAATCACCCAGCTTGTAACTGGAAAAGCCAGAGTTGAGTAAGGCAGTCTGATCCAGAACGTGTGTGGGTGTGCATACGTGTGCCCGTGTGCGTGCATCCATGCACATATGTGTGCATACGTAAGTGCTCACACTCTGCGGATTCTTCCTGCAGGGCCTCTGAGCAGCTGTGCCAGCTGTTCTGTCTCTTGGCCAAGGCATTCCCGACCGATCTGTTGGCATCCTAGTGAGAGGGCCCACAGTTTCTGTGGCTCCCGCCCGTTCAGAGAGCAGCCTGGAAAGTCCCATTTCTAGCCTCTCGATCCTTTGTTAAGGGTCCAGGGTCCTTAGGTGGAGACTCATGTCACCTGCCCCCAGGCTTCTGTCCAAGTCTGAGTGTGGAAGGGAATGCAGAGGCGTACCTCCAAACCATGAGCACTGGACAGACTGTTTCCTCTACTTATGATCTTTTTCGATAATGATCATCCTATGTAGATGCTGGGAAATTCTTTGAATGAGCATTTGTTGGAAAAACTGCTTGTGTGGGTGGCAAAGATATGAGAGTCTGGGGAAGGGAGTAGATTTCCAGGCACGGTGTCTGTGGGGAAGGGGAGGCACAGTCCTCGGACCCGGAGTGACCGTCGATGAGGAGCAATAGCGGGTGGGTCAGGCAGAGGATGTCTTGCCCCTCAGGCGCCAGCGTAGTGAGGAAAGGCTGGCCTGGGCTCCCTGCACTGGCCGGGTATCCTTGGGCACGTCACCTCACCCCTGTGAGCTCTTTCTCCCTCCCTCACCTCCTTGCTTTCTACCCAGCTTCTCCCGGTGCCCACCTGAGTCTGGCTGAAGGCTTATGCCCTTTGAGTGGCCTGCAAGCAGGGGAAGGACTTGGCTTTGTGAGATCTAGCCACCGGCTGCTTGGTTTCGCAGAACCCACTCTGGCTGCGCGTCACCGCAGCAAGGCTTCCCCCTTTCCGGGAACCTGCCTCTCATCAGCTTCCTCTCCTGTGATGTCACTTCTCTTGTGATTTGCCCAACCATTTCCATCTGATGGGTGACAGGCAGAACCACTGGCTCCTTAGGCCTGCTGGCCTGGCCTGGCTCTGGGGCAGCCCGTCTGCTCCCCTGAACTGCTGAGCAGTCAGGACTGCATGCAGCCACAGAGGTTCCCGGGCCACTGCTGAGCGTCAGGCCTCATGCTGGGTGCTGGCAGTGAGGAAGGCAGAGCTCCAGCTGCTGCCCCGGAGGAATTCACAGCCTGACGTCAGCAGCTTACTTTCAAATAAGTCATTTTCTCATGCATTCCTTAGAACATCCTACAAGGGAAATAATATCACTCCCATTTTACAGATGTGAAACTGAAGCTTGCTGAGTTTGCGTCTATGCCCAGGGTCACACAGCTGCTTTATGTGGCAAAGTCCAGGCCTCAGATTCAGCTTCGCGGCTCCAGATCCAGGGCTCTGAGAGGCCACATCGGACTCTTCTGTCCTCCTTTCTTTAGTGCTCGCCTTCTGCGACCCTCCTTCCTATTGAACCTGTCCTTAGGGAAGGGAATGCATCCATCGATCCATCTATCTATCCATCCACCCATCCATCCATCCACATCCATCCATCCATCCATCCTTCCTTCCTCCATCAATCCATCCATCCATCCATCCATATATACGTTCATCCATCCATCCTCCATCCATCCATACATACACCATTCATCCATCCATCCATCCACCCATCCATCCATCCATCCATCCATCCATACATCCATACATCCAACCATACATACATACATATATACATCCTCCATCCATCCATCCATCCATACATCCATCCATATTCATCCATACATACATCCTCCATCCATCCATCCATCCATCCATCCATCCATCCATCCATCCTCTATCCATCCACCTACCCACCCTTCCATTTATCCACCCACCCAGCCACCCAGCTAGTCTTTCTTGAATTCCTCCCTGTTTGGAGTTGCTGATATGCAAGAAGTTTGACAGGGTCCCTGCTTGCCATCTGAGGCAAGAAAGAAAAATCCCTAAATCCAGAGAGATGAGAAAGCAAGACGGCCACAGTGCAAAAATGTGCCTTCGGCACGTCGTAGCTGAGACGAAGTGGGCCCCACAGCTTTCAGGCTTCTGGTGCTTCTTGGAGAGGGCTTGTGGGGGAGGAGGTGGTGTTTGGTGGTTGGGGAGGAGCCGGAGGGCTAGAG